TTTTTTTTTTTTTTTAACTCTCTGGTTGTCATAGAGTGTTGCCTCCATACTTTGGAAATTCCTTCTCTTCATGGTAGATGTGCATTTCATTGTTTTTGTGAATTCGGATAAAATTGATTATTCACGGTCGTCATCCAAATATCATGCAAGGATAACCAGTGGGGAAGCAAAATGATAATTTAACCATGAAATAGCCTGTCCCAAATATATTACTAAAGCACTAATTTATGTGGCTAAGCTTTCTCTCAGTAAATACACAGGAAAGAAAGATGAAAATCAACGTCATGCAAGACACCACAGAACGAAAAAAGTTTATCTAAATAGTACAATTTAAAACATGGAGCATTAAGTGAGTCCAGAGTCTACTCTCCTGGTGCAGAGACACCTTGCTTCAGTCTCTCCTTCTTCATCTTCTTCTTTGAAACAGGCTTCTTTTTTCTAGGAGGGAGGGTCTTCTGTGCATACGTATAGAGCACGTAATTTCCAATGAGGAATGTTAACAGCAAACCACCAACGACCAGGAGGACAATTAAGCCTGGGTTGAATCCATGGGATCCGGAATCCTTGATCACATTTCCCTGACCAAAACAAAAAAAATAATACAGCATATAAATACTGTCATATCAGGTAGCACTAAGCAAAGAATTGGAAAAAACAATAAAAATGCACTTATTTTAACAGGGAGACATGCAACTTATCACCAATAACAACTGTTAGTCAGACATCCTACATAGTAATACGAATTATATAGTTCCCTTTATATAAAACTATCGCTGGCAGAACAATCAAAAGATTCAACTGGTTTGAGAATGATTGATCAGAAACGTTAGCATTAATGTGGAAGGTACACTATTGTTGAGAAAACTTGATACCCAAAATATGTTAAATGATTGATATGAACTGCAAGCTGCCAAACATATAATTTTGCAGAAATGATATAAATCTGCAAAACTATATTGAAGCACAAGTGAAATTCAAAACAAGAAGAAAATTAGTGCTCATGACAATATAATTCTTAAAAAATTCAGGATATTCTTCAAATTTATCTTATCGGTCAAAACACTGAATATAAATACAAAACACAATAATCTCTTAGACTATGTTTGAATTGATGAAAAAACACGAAATGAAATAGAATGTAATGACACTAATTCACTAAGTTCCTTTGTTTGGAGCTTTTAGACATTTCATTCCATCCATACAATCTCTTTCTTCCCCAAAATTTGGAAGGTTAAGTATGGGATAGAAACCTTAAAAAATTCAAGCCATCCCATTCCATCATAAAATCTCCAAAATCTTTATTCCACTCGCACTATTCCTTTCCATTTCAGAACTAGTTTGAATAAACTTCTCAGCAAACACTTAACAAGAGAAGAAAATAAAATGAATCAAAGAGATAATTCGAATCAAACATCTCCGATAAGTTAGAATAAACTTATGTACCTTATCTTTTTCAAAAGTTACCTCCTCATTTAACTTCTCCATAATTTATTTACCCACAAATGCTAGGAATCAAATACTACCTCAATTGAAAACCTTCCATAAGCTAGAAGCTAATACATTCTGGGCCACATTCCATACCATTTCAACCACTATTAGATATCCAAAAACAACATTAACTGACAAATGAGTTTTATGCATAATCCCATTTCTTTGAGATTTGAAACCAAAACAAAACATTTAAACTGCACTTATCAGCGAGTGCGTAAATCATTAATGCCATTTCGTGCTATCTAAACCACATGTGTTGTTTGAAGTTGAACCCAACAACAAACCATTTTCTGTGAAATCGCTATCATCTAAATCCAAAGCATGGATCGACATCAAAGTATATAAAACAGCAATGCATTAATTAAAAATTTCAACACACACAACAAGACTTGACATCACGAACCGTTGCTCCATCAGATCACAGTAGTAATGCAACAAACCATAAAAGTGCCTAATATAATAGCCATAAATGTAAACACTCCAACAATCGTAAATAAATCGTTAAATCTGAACATGAGCATTCACCCGATCAAAATCCTAGCTGAAGAGCGGAACAACAATTAAAAAAAAAAAAAGGATTCAACTCCTAATTTTATTTTAACTGAATTCGTAACATTAGATTCACTGAGAATTTGGAAGATCGAAAGCTCAGAGATGGATCTTCATCAGGAAGATAAAAAAAAAATTAAGCAAAATCGTTAACGCTTCCAAGGATCTGAGAGTAAAACAAACGGCAGGAGCACATGCAAGCTTTGATCCTAACTTTGAGATCTAATTAATGCGTGAAAAACGCGGAAGGAGGAACAATGTGCAGGGATTGATTAAGATCAGATCTAAGGGATAAACGAAGAAAAAAAAAAAAAAAAGGTTTGCAATTGTAAGTGTACCACGCGATCGAAGGAAGGAGGAACTTTATCTGCGAACTCGAAGTCATCGGCCATGGCTGACGCAGAGAACCTGTGCTTCTGCAAAAACAAACGGAGATTTTCACGCCAAGTTTGCGGCACGCGTTGAAGAAGGTTCCAGAAAGCAACCACAGATTTATTTAACCCACCCAAATCGATACGCACCTCTTTTTTTTTTTTTTAATAATAAAAAAATAACCCTTAAATATATTTTTAATCTTTCAAATTTAGGGTAAATCTATATTTGATCTTTTAAATTTAAAATTGTTATTTTTAGTCTCCGTAATTTCAAAAAATATTATTTTAGTCTTTATATTCAAATTTTGTTAAAAAATTTATTAAATATTATTGCATAAAATCTACCTATTCGTGTTTTTATTAGTGAAAAATATCACATTAAACCCGGTTGATATTGCATAATTATCTTAATTAGTCACTTTCAAATATGTTATTGGTGAATTAAGGGACTAAAATAAAATTTTTAAAAATTACAAGACTAAAAATAACAACTTTAAATTTGAGGGAATAAAAATAAATTTATCTTAAATTTTTATGTCTGCCAGGAATGAGTTAATTAAAAACTAAAGAGTAAAAAAATACAGATAACGATAATTTTTTTTATTAAAAACATAAAAAGAAAATCTTTAAGGTTAAATTGTATTATTTTAATTTTTTATTTTATCAATTTACAATTTTATTTTAAAATAAATACATTTAAGTTTTTCGATCGATAAATTTTAAAAATATAAAATTTTAATATTTCTATCAAAATTGATCATTAAATTTTAACATTCATTTATATTTAAGTATAATATATTATTAGGAAAAAAATTATATAAATAAAATTTATTAATAAAATAAATATAAATTAATCATTAAAATATATGTAAAACAAATATTTTTATATATTATTTTTTATAATTTATATTTTTAAAAATATAATAATCATATATTTTTATTTTAAAATAAATTGATTAAAATTATAAATTAATAAAAATTAAAGAGATTAAAAATATAATTTAATTTTTTTCAATCAAAATTTTATTTTTCTTATTTTTTACATCTCAATTAACCAGATAAGGGCAAATCTGGTAATTGATTAAAGAAACATGAATGTTATCTTTTGATAAGGCCAAAATGCTATTTACAAGGGCAGTGAAGAACTGAAGATTAACCTTTTACGGCATGGTTTTGCGCTTTTGGCTCAAAGCTAAAAGGATATTAAATTTTAACTTTTAACGAAGTGAAGTCAATGACAATTTTTTATTTTTATTTTTTTATTTTAATTATTTAAAGTTGTATATTTTTTTTAATTAAATTTAATTTTTATATGCATAATATTTAATTTGACAATTTTTTATTTTAGATTGGAGGTTATTTTAGATTAAAGTTTATATCAAATTAGAGTTTTATTTTTTAAAATTTAGGTGGGTGAATAAACCAACCCGTTTAGTCCACCATAGGTCATGTCAAGTTGGAAAAGTTTGAATGTTTAAGAAAGCGGGTTAGGCCAACCTATTTTGATAACTTTATGCCAAGTAGAACGAATTATATTTTTCAACTCATTTTCTTTAGTGGATCAACCTATCTTGCCCTATTTCTTTGGTGGATCAATCCATCTCTCTTTTAGCGAGTTAATCCACTTTAGCACCCGTACAATCTGTTTTATCACCCTTACTTCTTTCACCCTCTTTTCCATTCTATTTCTCCTTTTGTATGGAGAAAAACATAATCTTGGCATCATTCTCAAAAAGAAAACTATTTGTTAAAAATACTTTATGAATATGAAAAATGTTAGTTAACACTTACAATGGATAATTAGAACTGTCAAAAGTGAGCCAACTAATTTGACTCATTAATTTGTGGGTGAGCTTATAAAAATTGAACCCAATTTTGTCCATCATAAACTGATAAGTTAAACATGTTGGCTCACTTAAAATAAATAAAAAAAATAAAAAATAATTGAATTTAATAAAATACTTCTTATATAAACGTGTATTTTAAAATTACAATTATGTTAATAATAATAAAAAAAGTAAATATGACAATAGTTTTAAAAAGGCTAAAAACTTATTTTGGTCCCTTATAATAATTATTTGTTTCAATTTAGTCTCACTTTTATTTTTTGTCTCAATTTGGTTCCTAATAATTTAATTAGTTGCAATGTAGGAATTTCGTCTAAATTATTTAAATAGAATTAACTATTAGGCACGTGGCATGCACGTGGATGCCACGTAGATGCATAGGTGGATGCCACATGGATGCCAATTTTTTTGAAAACACCTGGAACCATAACAGCCTAGAACGGGTCGTTCTGGGTTCACTCTTGGTGTGTTAATTTTGCATCCAAAACGGTCCGTTCCAGGTGCAAAATTAACACACTAAAAGTGCAACCAGAACGGGCCGTTCTGGTTCCAGACTGTTAAACACAAACTGTCAATGATTATAGTTCACGGTTGTGAATCGTGGAAGGAAAAAGACCCAAAGTACAAAGCATTTCAAACACTGAATTTAGTTTGTCAATGGAAATTGATAACTTCAATTGCTAAACAGTTGGGCTTCAGTATATCATTAAGGACAATGCAGTTATCACTAAAGACAATGATAACAAATTTTTTTTCATTGTTAGTCAAACTGGAGTGAACCACTTACTACCAAATTGACACTATACAGTAAAGGATGAAATGACATGGTATTTTTCCTTGAAGTCATTAACGATGTACCCTAACAACAACAACATGTTCTTGAAGAGGTAGAACCTGAAATAAAGGAAGAGGATACACAGGACTAACATTTCACCACACAACCACATGCAGGATGGATATAAATTAATCATAGTGGGGGCACTTGCCCACTAATTTTTTTTTTCATTTTTTTATATATAAAATATTAATAATTTTATAAAATATATATTATTAATTATATTTTAATTATCTTGTTATATCTAATATAATAAATACATTAATATTTTTTATATATTTTATTTTATTGTTTAATTATTTTTTATTTTTTGCTAAAATTATCTTCATTTTTAATGAAGAAAAAAATTACTTGCTTCAAGATTAAGTCTTGATAGATTTATTTTATTTAATAATTAATGTTCTATATCAAATTTTTAAAGATTTAATTGTTAAATTAAAAATCTTTTCATATATTGATCAAATTTATAAATTTTTAAAAAATTAAAAATCATATGATACTTCGTTAAATTAATTCAAAATAATATATAAAATATTTTTGTTTTAAATGAGTGTAAAAATTTAGAGGGCACTAAAAGAAAACAAATTAATAATTTTATTATGTTTATCCTATTAATTTTTATCATTTTATTCCTCTAATTTTAAATAAGTTGCAAAAAATTATTAAGTGACACTTAAATATTTCTTCAGACAGAAAGAGAAAAATGAAAAGTTATCACTCTATTTATAAGACAATTGTATTTTATAAAAATAAGTAATTTTAAAATTTTTATCATAAAAAAATATTTTTCAAAATTATTATAGTTCTGGAACGGACTGTTCTGCATCTAGAATGACCCGTTCTGAAACCAGAACGGGCTGTTCTTTTGTACTCGTGGTGTGTTAATTTTGTATCTGGAACAGGCCATTCCAGATGCAAAATTAACACACTAAGTGTGCATCCAGAACAGCCCGTTCTGGTTTCAGAATGGGCCGTTCTGATTTAAGGTATTTTCAAGAAATTTGGCATCCACGTGGCATCCACCTGTGCATCCACGTGACATCAACCCGTGCATCTACGTGACATCCACGTGGCTAACAGTTAACTCCATTTAAATAATTTAGACGGAAGTCCTACATTGCAACCAATTAATTTATTAGGAACCAAATTGAGACTAAAAATAAAATGAGACTAAATTAAAACAAATAATTATTATAAAAGATCAAAATAAGTTTTTAACTTTTTAAAAATTGACCAAAAGCACCGATCCAATCAAGAACTAGACATGATGTGGATTTAAGTCACTAATTTGAACGAAAATGCTTGTAAACTGGTGATAAACGTAATCAAAATGATGTGAAACTGGGTTCAATCAAGTAATTTTATCGGTTATACCAAAGACGATTCGGCCAAGAGCTCCAATTTTGTGTGCCTGTTTTCAAAGTCTACTTTATGTTTTTCACGCGTTAACTAGCATGTGTCGACTACCGAGCTTGCCATACTTTAACGCATCCTAAGTCTGAACCTGCCATGCTTCTTTCACTTCCAAAGTCTGCATTGATCTTCATACAAAAATTAAGATAAAATCATGAAGCTACACTTGAGAAGGCTCAAACCTTGGACACAAACTATGCATAAGACACATTAAACCTCTATGGCACATACAGTTCATGTCATATATTTACCAAAAATAATATATATATATATATATATATCTATATAATATTTGTGAGTTGACTTATTTAACATTTTAGTCACCACTAAACTAATATGTTTTATTGATAAATACTTGACTTAAATAATTTATATAGCATATTTTTAATCTAAAATTATATATTTAATTTATGTGATTTAATCAATCTATAATTTGATTATTTTGTTAGTATCAATTTGACTACAATTTTCTTTTGATATTTCTTTAAAATATGGTATAAATTTTATTGATTTATAACTATAAAATATATATGACATAAATATTTTTTTAAAAAAATTAATAAAGATTGAATCATGAAATTCAATTAATGATTCATTGGTTCGACCCCTGATCCATTAACTCAATACATTTATTGATTTGATGGTTTCATTTTTTAAAACATTGGATACAAATACAAATAACTTCATCAATAAATAATATCAAAGTAGTGACATAAAATATCAAATACTATCAAATTGATACTAATTATCATAATTTTTAACTAATATGGAACCACTAGGATTGCCTTGATGGTGAGGGGAATAAGATAGTATGTAGAGGGTCTTAAATTTGAACTTTTGTGTTGTGATTGTAATTCTAATAGATAAAACAAATAATAACTAATGTGTATAAAATTCAGTCAATATTATAAATGTATAATCACATAAATTAGTATTTAAGACAAAAAAGCAAATTAAGTAAGTTGACTTCACTTATTACGAGTTAACCCGTGGTGACTCAAGTTATAACTAGACTAGATCAATTTTTATTTATTATCAAAATGAGCCAAAAATTTTAAACTCAACTCAACTCAAATCCATAATATACATCATTGATCTATAAATTCTAACTCATTTTGACAACTCAACTCTAGTAGAAACTAAGCCTATACACATCTTGACAATTATTTCAAATGTTAGTGCTTCTAAAAAAAACAAGTGTTAACATTACAAATTAGTGAATTAACTAAATTAGTCTTTTGTTTTAGGTACTTTAGGTGTTTTAGGGGTTATAGTTTATTTTGAATGAACTAAATTAGTCTTTCAATTCTCATCTCCCTATCTATATAAGAATTAAGAAGCGTGTAGGGTGACAATGTTTTTACTTTTTGTAGTTCAGGGTTATTGTCTTTTCCTATATGCTTTCTTGTTGGGAGTAAATCTTAACAAATGCATGATTTATTAAATATTTCCTCTACCCAAATAATTAATTCATAAAAATTAAAAAAAATTGGTTTTATTGGTTAAGATAAAAAACATGTCTTATTTATTTATTTTAAACTGTCCCTAAACTAATGATACACCTAATATATGTTTTCAATAAAGTTTTTGCATTTCAAGAATAAATAATGAGATTATTTGCACTCTACTTAAATAAATTTCACTTACTTTTTTAACTCAATAAATGCATTTAATAAAAATATTTCTGTAAAGAATAAATTAATGTTTGAAATATAATGAATTAAATCTTATAAAAAGATCAAACTAATTTAATTTCAACCAGTATGATTCACTTTGCAAAACACAATATGCAATTGAAAAAAAAAACATCGAGTTTTCATTTTAGAAATGTGAATTGAAATAACCTAACTCAATAATATCAGTTTGTAATATATAATTACTCTCTATTTATATAGATTATACTCGTCTTACAATTAGTGAATGTGTAAGACTTTAGATATTCTGAATAGGTTGATTCTAACAAAATATACATGTTGTGAGACACATGTGAAGAATTTAAGTATGTCTAAATTTCAGATCAAGTATCAGTCACATAAACAGTAGAGAAAAAGAACTATAATTTTTAGAGATGGCTCAAGATTCCCAAGGAAAAACACAAAGTCCTAATTACAGTGGTTAAAAAAGATTAACTACTAAGTTTCTGTTGATAATTGATTCATATTTTTAATTTTTACTTTTCTTTCGAAACGCAGTGTGTGGACAAACGAAATATAGCTAGGATAGAGTAGGATTGAAGTTGGTGGAAAATCATTGTTCCCTTGGAGTAACGAGAAGAAAGAAGGGAGACATGACACGAATAACGATTTCTCCGGTCATACATGCGAACAAAAAACAATGGAACAGTCTGATGGTGCTTTTGATTGATTTTGTATTGTTGAAACTTGAAACCCCACTTGTGAGGCAACACATCACCGTAGGTCCCTCTTTCAGTTCTATGTGTTTATCTTCTTCTTGCCTTATCTACCTAACTCGTATTCCTCACGACACCAAACTCATTAACTAAGCCTCCACTTTTGGTTCCAATAAGAATCTTCCCAACCCTTCCCTTTTATTGCCTACGAGACAAAAAGGAGATGGGAGAAATCAGAAATCACATTTCCACTCTCTCATTATGCTTTTATTAACATACAATTATTCAGCTTTGACATATGAACTAGAGCCTTTTGCTCAAGTTTCTGAGTATATTTGAGTATTCATTATTCACCATAACATGACTCATTCTTGGTGGATTTCTGAGGCCACGGTTTTGGCCCAGAACCGAAGATGTTTCTTCATGTTGGAAGATGAACAACGTTTCGGGATTTTTAAGTTTAGTAGCGGTGAATCGGGTCTCTTTATAAGCCATGCCTCGGATAAATATGGTCTCATGATATCTCTCTTTTCTTCATCTTCTTCAATGTGATTTCCTTCAACCGTTTCTTTGGCATCTGTTACACCAAGTCTTTGCAAGCCAGGGACAACGCTCATCATTCTTGGACTAAGATATTCTTTCTTGAATGTGAAACCAAGATCCATGAAACCCTTTACTTCATCAAGTTCTAGTTCCCCAAGTGTTCTGCAGCTCATGGACTTCTTTAGTTTCCTTGCACAAGTAGCTGGTTTAATCAATTTTCTGTGATGGTTTTGAGTTGATGGTGAGGATAAATGTGAACGAGTTCTGTTACCCAAAAGTTTCATTCTAGCCAATCTCTCCTTCATTTCTTCTTCTTCATCCTTTGTGATGGTAAAAATAAAATAAACAAAAGGAAGAATGGTCATGACACGTTTCATGGTTCACTATCAAATTGAACACATAATAGAATAGATTGAATGTTGATGGACAAAACATAATACAATGTTTTTTTTTATACAGTTTTTGAATAAGAATTGATGTTTTGGTTCGATAATCTACGTTAACATTTAATGTAAACCTTTATTAAGTGAATTATCAACGTGAAACTCCAATTCTGATCGAAAAACTGCATAAAAACATTAAAGAAATTGTATCTAAGTTTTGTCTGAATGTGATTGAAGGAATAACTATAACTAATTTTCAATTATACCTGAAGAGGGACAAAGATTGATTCTGATGAGAGTTGTTTCTCTGATGAAGGTGATTCATCCGTTGAATTTTCTTCATCTGCCGGAGGTGGTGAAGAAAGAATGGATGATGAGCAAGAAACAGATTCTGATGTGGGAAAAGGCTTTTCTTCATCCGGTGGAGATGGTAAGGAAAGAACTGAGGCTGTTGGTTTGCAGAAAAAGACTTGGTGAAACCAAAGCCTATCCATTTCTTCTATAATGCATAAAAAAAATTTGTTTGCCATTGGTGTGTGTGTGAGAGAAAGATTTTGATTTTTGGGTATGAAAAGGCTTGTTGACACTTGGTGGCTCAATGGAGTAGTGGCCTGTCGGCAGGTGTGGTGGTGGTGAAAAGAAAGAGAAGTAGAGAAGCGAGTGAAGGCAAATTAACGTGGAGAAGTGTGTGGGACAACCTTAGACAACTAAGGATGTGGTCACCATGGACATGGGACATGGATTCTAAACTCCACATCTTATACGCTGATAAAATGACTGTTCTGTCCATGCTTCAAAAGCAGAATACGATGCTCTATGCATGTCATGTCACATGCTAGAACAAGTTAGATCTACCAAGTTGAGTGGATTCATGATTCATCACTAGGAAGAGTAAGGACCAAAATAATTTGTTTATGGTCAGTAAATCCAAAAGTTTCTTAAAGTTTGTAAAAAGAGCAAATATATGAAGATATGAATCAACCATAGATGAATCCATCCAAATATGGATTCGGGCATCTTAACATTACAGTTGTCATGCCAACAAAATCCGATTTGCAAGCTGGTTAAGTTCAATACAGATTCAGGATGGGGTATACCGACATGGACAAAGGGGACTACTATTTGCATAATTGGCTTTACCCCAGAGACACCACTTATGGGTTAAGGCCTCAGTCAAGTAATAATGACAAAAAAGAAAATTGTTTTATTATCACTTGCAGTCTTCTGATTCTGGATGTGCTCAGGTGACTGCTTATTGACCATTGGAAGCTAATAAGTATATTCTTCCGTGCATATGATGACTCCATTTCCTCACTAAATACGACAAGTAAATTAACTTTACAGGAAGATTTTTCTGTTTATATGCTTTTAAATCCCCTTCAACAAGATAAATAAATAAAAGAAAAACGTTTAGGGGAATAAGGATAGTGTTGATGGTTTTGAGGTGGGATAATATCATAATATACTTTGTTTTCTTGTACAGTTGTATCCAGATTAGATTTTACTATATATTAGTAATACAAATCAATGCCTGGATACAAGAGATTGAAACATTAACGCAATTTACACTACTAAATTTGGAAGTTATTAATTATGTCCCCGACATGAATCTGACGTCCAATGGAATCAATACTATTTCATGTTCTAACTCATTTACCCCTCAGATTTGGCATTCGGCATTCCTAGTT